TGCAACTGTGTGCGTAGATGACACCACTGGGCCTGACACACAGAGTTTTGCAGCTGAGGGTTAGTTTCTGCCCTTCATAGGGTGGTCACACCAGGCGGCAAACAGGAGGTGGAACTGACATCCGCAGTCACCGGGCTGATTCATCCCAGGGCTGAACCTGGCTGGGCTCCAGGCTGATGCGGAGTTCCCCTTCCTTCCGAGGGCTCCTGAGTGCTCCTCACCTCAGTGATGCCAGGACACGCAGCCAACAGGCCCAGAGCCCTCCCGAGCTGGCCCTTCCAGGGCATGGTTGCCGCATGGTGCTCCTTCCTCTCAGCCTCCCACAGGTTTCCTCCCCTGTCAACCCTTCCAAACCTTCCAGGCCTTCCTGTCAATCCTTTTGCAGTTCTGTGAACCAGATGCAGGGATCTGCACCTGCTAGGCAAATGTTCTGCCAGTGACCCCCAGCCCAGCTGTGCTGCATTTGACTTACACAAGGAGATGGTGTGACTCTACACTGCAACTGTGGTGCAGCAGCGCTCTGTATTTCCTTTCATTTGTTAATATTAATTTTACTGAGAAAGAAATAGCAATGAGACATTTTCAAAACAGGTTAGCAGGACAGTTACAGTAATTAATACATTGCATATTGTTGTCTTCATAGTAGGTATTCATAGTACAAGATGCAGACATGATATCTTGTCAAACATTATTAGTTCAAAACTTTCTTCTCATTAAACTAAGAGAAATTAGTTGTACATCTATGCTACCTATTTTGTATATACAGATTTTTCACTACGAAATGGTCCTTCATTTATGTCCCCCTTTTTGTTACTTTTGTCAGAGATGGGTATTCCATGGTCATTCAAATATTGTAGGTGTGTGAATTCAGCAAAGTAATCCAATATAGTCCAGTAGTCCATAATGGTAGTGGGTTATCCGCAGGACTGGCAATTTCTGAAGTTGTTGACTTGAGCCTTTTACAGCTCAGCACATTAACAACTTAAGTTTGCAGACCAAAAATTAGAGAAAAATAAGGGCTTCAGGAATAGCAGCCAACATTGTGGCCCTAGCCCTTCAAGGTCAGTGAGGACTCAGGACATAAGAGAACCTGTACTGTGACATCCTGCAACTCAGCGATGTCCCGAATTTTCTGATCAAGGAGATCATATATTGCCTTTCACACTCACTTCACCCCTGGGTTCTGCTCAGTGAAAGGCTTTCATGCTGCTGGGCTTTTGTTGCCACTGTTTTGCTGGATTCTTGTTGCCCATAGCCAGGGACTGACGGATGCAGAGCAGTACCAGACACTGAGCAGCTCCAGCCCCATGCTGTGTTTAGTACCTTCAGTTGAAACATCAAGAACACCCTTCAGTACTCTTTGTAAGGTAGATGCATTAGTGTTTTGTCTGTGGGACAGAATACTTGAAAAATCTTAAGTGATGAAAGGTTGATTTGAACTAGTAGCTCACTGGATTGTAGGGCACAGTCACCCAGGTCCACCGCATAGGGCCATAGGGAGACAGAAACATCATAGCTAAGGTCAGGGAAAGATGCTCACAGCAGCTAGGAAGGAGGGAAGGAGGGAGGTAGAGAGAGGGAGGGAGGGAGGGAGGGAGAGAGATAGAGACAGAGGAGACCGAGGAGACAGAAGAGTTAGAGGAGATAGAGAGAAATGCAGAGACAGCCACAGAGAGAGAAGCAGAGAGAGATAAGAGAGAACCCCACTGACATTTTCATTTTTAGAGTTCTTTTTTCTCTTTTGAAATATTTTCAGAGCACAGGTTTCAGGAAATTCTGTTCACATTCAGCCTGGGGTGGTTACATGTATTCAACATATCTTAATTCTTTTATTGCTCATCTCCCTCTCTTCCTCCTTCTCTCCTTAATATTTACTAAGGGTCTCTGTCCTTGCATCCTGCTGTCTTGTTACATGGCTTTCTGAAGGTCACTGTCCCTCAGTCCCTGCCCCCTGGGAGACTGTCCTAGCTCACCTCCCAGAGCCGGCTGATGCCCTGCCTTCTCTGGGTCTAACTTCTCTGCCCTCTTCATCCCCTCCTAGGCTCTCTCTTCACCCCAGAAACACCTCTTAACATCTCACAGTATGTATTCTCACCCCTGGAATTCCTGGAAACACAGGCTGAGGAGCTCCTCTGTCTCTTCTGCTAGATCGGCTCTGTCTGCTTTGCCCATGTCCACAAATGACTGTAGTTGTACATTTTCATTTTGCATCCAGGAGTGTGATATGTTTACTAGGTCCTGCCATCTGCAGGTTTGTTTTTGTTTTTTGTGTACACAATCGAGCTGCCTTCACACAATGTCTTTGTGAATTTCTGAAGAGCCAGCAGCCCCCTCCTCCTTTAGCTCTCTCTGTCACCGCTGTCATTTCTGTGTTTGCCTCATCTGACCCTCGTGCCCTCACCTGTGTCTCCAGAGAAATGCTGAGCAGAAGCCCAGGACACGGTTTTTTCTGGTCTTCCTCATTCGTGGGACAAAGACATCAGTATTCCTTCGTTAGCAGGAAGCTTCTTCCAGGTTCCTTGTAAGTTACTTTCCAATCCAATTGAGCACTGTCCTATGATTTAACATGGGGAGCCCCTGCTGACTTTCTAAAGAACTCTTTTACTGATCTGTTCAGGTGAACACAATTTTGGTTTTCTGCATATGCAGTCAAGTACAATGATGACATAAATGACACATGCAGACCCGATTCCTGGGGCAGCCCCATTTTGCTGACAATTTAGACTCCACGGTGTGTTGCTTGTTCCTGTTTAACCTAGGGAAATCCTTTTCAGTGTTTCCAGGGTTTTATAAATTTAATTAGATTTTGAAGACAATGTTCAATTATTTGTTCAATCTTGCATAACTATATTTGTTAATCCAAGCAACAGATTTAAATATAAAAGTATGTAATATAACAACCATTGTTAATTTGCTTTTGTTGTTTTGAAAATCTGTATTGTTGTACGTTACCTGTTTCTGTTATTTGATTTTGCTTTTTTTAATGGTGGCACAGGGTCTAACTATGTAGCTCGGACTGATCCTCCTGTCTTCAGCCTCCCCAGCGCTGGAATTACAGGTGGGCACCACCATGCCTGGTCTCAGCGGCTGGCGTAGCATGCTCAGGGGTTGGGGCTGGTGGGGCATGTGTTGCCGGGGATGAAATCCTCATCCCTGTGCTTTCCTAAGCAGGCGCTTAGTCTGCTGAGCTATCTCACCAGCCCCTGCTTTTGTTTTTAAGTCTTTGAAATAAATTAAAATAAATACAAAAGACTATAAGGACAAGTTTATATTTAGATTGTTTTAATTTAAATTAAGTGTTTACTATGATCACTGTTTTCTGCATTCTCTCTTAGTTGAAATTAATAACATTTCATGAAAACGTAAATCATTGAATTTTTTCTTCTGATTCTATTTGTATATTTAAGGCTTTCATTTGCTCAAAAGGATACATGCTTCACGAGCTTAGTGTGTGCATTTTACGTGATGATAAACTTGATCGCTTTGTGATTTCCCTGTCTTAGTCTTAGTTACTTTACTACTAACTTGTTCAATACTTGGAAGAGTTAAGGCAGCTCCCTTGGACTGCGGGTCAGGTGACTCTAGGATCCCTCAGAGTCCCACGCAGAAGCCCGCAGGTGTCCGTGGTGCTCAGCTGTGTGTGCCCAGGGCAGTGCCTGTCCCTTCTGAGGCCCACATGTGCAAGCACTCTGTAGTCTGAGGTCTCCGATGCTCTCATGGACAACCAGGCAGGCGCACACGCTGCGCTCAGCTGGGGGATCCTCCTCCTAGCAGGAAGGGGCTGTGGTTGGCTCCCCTCTGAGCTTGAAGCTCCTCACCTGGGCGTAGGTCACACCCTGGGGATCTTCAGAGTGAGTTGCCTAGAGGTGCAAGAGAGGGGACCATAGTAAGGTTGAGGCTGGGAAATCCTGGGGGGCTGCAGGGGACAGAACTCACCTGCTTGTCCCTCTGACTGTCCTCTCCTGTGGGTCTATTCTTCAGGGCGAGGAATGGTGTTGATGTGGGGGAAGCTGGGGATACGCTGCCACATCTCCCTCTGGAGAGCCACACCTCGGTGTAGGTCACTTCCTGGGGCTCCTCGTGCTCAGGGCTCTGCAGCAGGGAAGAGTGGCAAAGGCTGCTCCTTGACTCTGCTCTGCTCCATTGCTCAGTCCCACAGGGCCTGAGGAGTGAGCACTGGGACAGCTGTCAGCTTGGACCTCGCATGGACAAAGTTCCAGTGGCTTCAGGAGCCCATCAGCGCCCAGGGGCCAGAATGACTGAGCTGTGTTCCTGCCTGGCTTGGCTCTTGCTGTTGATTCTCAGGAAATCTCAGTCCCAGGACAGTGACGTGAGTGTCCAGCATTCAGGTCTCTGCTGAGGCACCTGTGCTCAGAGGGTCTCCTCTTCGCCTTTTCCTAGAGCCCTCCCTGCCCTTCCCACAGGCACTCCACCTCTCCCTGCCATGTGTGGCTCACAGTGCTCTGCACTGATGGGGTCTCTGTGCCCAGGCTCTGCTCTGTCACCACTGTCTCTCTGTCCATGCATTGTGCTGCTCTGAAGACACAGACATTTGGTGCTGGTGACTTTTCAGTGACAATCCCAGTCTTGCAAACAGTCAGCCCTCGAGGAGGTGGCACTCTGTGCAGCTGGTGATGGAGACTTTGTGGAGGAGAGAACGGGCTCACGGACACAGTTCCTCACTCCCTGGGCTCCAGCCTGCAGGGAGCTTGGTGAGGCTCACAGTGGGGACAGAGAACAGGCTCCTTTCTCTGAGGGAGCTCAAGGTGCTGAAGGCAGGGCGGTGCAGATTTAAGAAAGGAAACCACTCATTATGGAAGAAGGGAGACAGTAACACAATGAGGTAAGAGGTTGAGTATGGAGGAGAGAGTGACTTACCTGGTGGCCCTGTGAGTGCTCTGGGGAGGTGGCAGCAGAACTGGGTCCTGGGGACAAGAAGGACACCCTGTGCCACCTGAGAGGAGCCCTCCTGCATCTGCACTGGCCCCGCTTGGTTGGTATCAGACCTGGGCTCCTCTGACTTGCAGGGCCTTGAAAACAGCAGCTGACCCTCTCTGGGGTGTGCCCAGCCCTCCCCCTCCTCACCTGCCTTCCTGCACTGGCCCTGATGCCAGAGCCCCAAGAATACAAGGAGTGTGAGCAGCAGGAGGGAGGCCACGAAGACCCAGGTCAGGACATTCAGGTTCCTTCCTGGACCTTGGGCGTGAGTGATGTCTACATTAAAAAGAGATTAGCTTTAGTGATAACCATGTTCTGGTGGGGTTTACATTCATCTCCTCAAACTCTCTCAGTCTTGAGACATAGCCCTGTTGTCCACACTCAGGAAAGCTACAGATGAGAAAGTCAAGGACCAGAGGAGGACTCTCCTGCCTGGGTTCTGTCCACACCTGCTCTTGAAGTCATGGCCTCCGGACACCAGTGGTGCTGAGTCTGGAATGAGGACTGAGATGGACTGAGAGACTCCAAGGAGCCTGGACTCAGGATGCTTGGAAGAGAGCCAGGGACTCTCCTTCTTGGGAGCTGGGTGCTGAGGGTGAGGGTGGGGATCCCAGAGGGTCCTGTGGATGAGACTGGTGGGGGTTGTGCGCTGGGATCCAGGGATTCTGGCAATGAAGATAGGAGAATGTGATGATCAGGGTGGAGCTGGACGCTGCCCACTGCTGTCTGTGCAAAACCACCACCACACAATCCCTGATACCACCCCTGCCCACAAACACTTTCTAAATGCAAATCAAAGGCCTTATTAGGCCCACCTCAGAGGAGCCCTGGGGACTTAGAATAAGCATTCTCCCTGGCTGCAACTCCGAGGTTCTTCTCCCTCCAACTGAAAAACAATGTTGCTAGGGTTAAGGCATGAGTGACTCTTTGAGAGAGGACAGGGACAGGGGCTTCCCACCTGAGACTAGGAGCTCCAGGGTGTCACTGGGTGTGGACCACACTTGGGGATTTCTCCTGTCAGAGCCATAGCATCTGAATGCCCAGTTGTGCCCAGGAAACACGGGGCCCACGGGGAACAGGGCCTCGAAATGTCTGTTGGGAAGTTGTGAGTTCTGGGTCCAGGCAGGCTTGTCTCCTCCTTCCTTAGTCAGAATGAACCGGTCAAATCTTCTCTGTGACCCACACTGGAGGGTGACATTCCCTCCTGAGGTCACCACAGGGCCGGGCAGGGCTGAGAGGCTGGGCTTGCTGTAGACTCCTAGGAGAGAGGTAGGCAGCATGTGAAGTAGGCTCACATGTGGGACATTGTCCCCAGGGCTGGGCTGAGAGAGGGGACACCCCTGAGGACAGACCTCTTCCTGAGAGCAGAGCCAGAGGCCTTCCCCTTGAATGTCCTCTCACCTGTCACCACCAGCTCCAGGGGCTCACTATGCTGTGACAAGCCAGCGGGGCTGCGATAGAAACAGTGATATCGGCCTGCATCATCTTTTGTCATGAATGGGATGAAGAACTCGGCCTTGTCGAGTGAGATTGATAGTTCCGAGGTCTTCCATCTTCCTTCTCTGTACAGACGGTACTTCTGGGCCCCCAGCGTCCCCTGACACCAGATGCTCACAGAACTCCCCCGGGCGATCACAGCGCCTGGCATGGCCCAGAGCGTGGGTTTGGGGAGGGAACCTGCAGGGAAGTCAGAGGCTGAGCCCAGGACCTTCTCTATTGCGACATCATTCCATGGCCTCTCCCAGTTCCTCACCCTCAGCCCAAGCTTTCATCACCCCTACTGATGCCCAGAGTCTGAGGACAGGCCACGACCCTGGGTGCTGGGGTGGACTCACCTGCAGGTCCTTGAAGGCCCATTTGCAGACTCATTCCTGGAAGAGAGTTTTCTGTGCTGTCAGAGGCCCCATCAGGTGCCTCATCTGATTCTCCCCCTCTCTATCCCAGCTCCCAGCACTGACCTAGGCAGAGCAGAACAGGCACCATGGGCATTGTGTTTCCAGCTCTTACTGCTCCAGCTCTGGCAGAGGAGAACTCAGTGCTGCAGACATACCGAAAAGAACAGAAGCAGAAAGTCAGAGCTGCCTCCGCCCCTGCTCCCCACCTCTGTGAACCCACTCAAAGGGGGCAGAGAGCACTGCCTCGGGCCAGGCACTGGCTGCTGCAGGCTCAGGATCAAAAGCTTCACGGAGAATTCTCAGCCCAGGTCTGAGCTCTCCCTGGGTCCCTCCCACACCTTCCCCTTGATGGGAGCTCCAGTCATTAAGGGAAGGACCCTGACCCTGACCTTGATTGCAGCAGAAGCTGGGACTCCAACCAGGACACTCATCTTCTGAGAGCCTCGCGGGAGTGTCATTCTTGGGTCTTTGGCAAATATTTACTTTGGAGTGTTTTCTCAGACTGTAGAAACACCTCCTCATCTAGATGCGCATGTGGCCTGCATTCTGAATGAGAGATCTTCTTTGGAGACCTGGTGACTGATTGTCCTGCAGGAACAACAGGTGGAGCAGACCTCTGCCCATCAGGGTTTCCTCTTTCTACCCTGGCTGCTCCAGGGTTTTGCTATAGTGGCAACACACCAGCTGAGTCAGGGACTGACATAAATGTGCACTCCCTCCTGTGCTCTGATTCCCATTTCCCATTTAATGTTTTCCTTCTACGTGCCTGAATGTTGACCCCAGACTGCTGCTCCAAGCACCGCATCACAGCTGTTCATATACTGTCTCGAGGGCTGAGAGCTCCACTGGCTTCACTACTCTGGGCCTGGGCTGTGGTTGAAGAGAGTGATGCTCCATGAGTAGGTGATGGCAGGTGAACCCCCCGTGGAGGGCTTTTCTCCCTCTGTATGCTTTGCCATCAGAATGGTCACCTGTGTTGGATGGCGGTGACCATTGGTGGTGTCCACCTCAGGAGAAAGTGACTGCTCCTGCTGTCCTGTGAGGCACTCCCTGTGGGGCACAGGGCTTGGCTGGGGCTACAGATGCTCTGCTTGCCCAGGGGCCTGTGTTGGACTAAGGAGAAGAAGAAGGGCCATCGGGCTTTGCCACAGCTTGGAGAGCAACATTCTCCCACTCACAGGGCCTGGGAGTAGTGAGCATATCCTTGTTCTGCGTGAAGAAGGCACAGTGCAAGGGAACAGTGCTGAGGGACACAGAGCAGCGAGGCTCCCTCTGCTCTGCCCCAGGCAGGGCTGCTGTCTTTGGGGGCCTCTGTACACTGGGATGATGGTTAGAGCTGGGGAGAGGTCCTGAGGGTGAAGCCCTCCCGTGGCCATGGGGTGTGCACTGTGACTGCTCAGGAGGCTCAGGGTCTGCAAGCCAGGAAGTGCAGGGACACAGCTGGCCCACAGTACCTGTGCTCCAGGCTGAATCTCCCCAAGGGCCAGAGCTGCCACAGGGCCCTGGCAGTGGTGTCTGCAGCACAGAGCAGCGTGAGTGGAGCCTGGGAAGCAGGAGGGGAACCTGAACTGGGAGCAGCAACACTGGGTGGTGGGTCAGGAACGGCTGCAGTCGCATGAGCTATGGGCTACCCAGGGAGAGTGGCTCTGGAATTGCTCCAGGAGAAGGACTTGGAAAAATGTGGAGCAGCAGGAGACAGCCTAGTGTGCTGGGGTGGGGAGATTTACTGGGATGCTGGTGAGAGCTTAGCGCCTCAGAAGGATTATGGTACTGGAGACAGAGAATGTTACTCTCAGGAGGTTTCAGATGGACACAAGGACAGTCTCGGGAAACAGGTTAAGGACAGCTTTTCAAGAGTTTAAGGAGCTGTTGCCTTTTTGTCAAACTAAAATGTAAACACCTCATGGCTCCTAAGAATTAAAGTACTCCATAAATACCAAGGAAAAACTCACATAGGGTCAAAAGAATATGTTAGGAATCTCAGGGGACAGAGGCAACAGAGAATGCTGAAAGAGGCTGTGAATGAGTACCCTACCCAAAGAGGTTTCACCATTGTATTTTCAGGTTAGGTTATTGTCGCCTGTGGGGAGGAAGGCAACATTTGCAGACCTTCTACCCGTGGAAAGTTGGTTAACACGTTTTCCCCCCACACAGTGCTTTGTACCCACACCTGAATGTACAGTGGAAGTATCGAGTGCAGAATATGTGAGAACTTTTTTTAAGACAAATTTGTTATTTATTCTCAGTCACTCTTGATGTAGAAACCCCACAGTCTGTGACTCTAGAGTTGGCTGCGTTGTTCCAAAAGTTAAGAGTATTTGTTGCTTGTGCTGCTACCTCGTAACACCAGGTGAGCTGCACCAGGCCAGGCTTCGCGCTGTGTCCAGAAGAGGGATCTTGTGGCTGTCTCTCCGCACGTCCTCACCATCCTTCTGCATCATGGGCTATGTGTGTCCTGTAGCATGGTGGAGTCCTGCACAGCCTCTGAAACCACGGTGCTGTGGGTACCCTGAGCCCATGACCACTGCCTGCAAAGGAAGTACCGTCCCCCTACTTCCTTAGGGAGATGGAGAATGACTGGGTCTCATCAGAGGTTCCTGGGATTCGGACAGTCTTCCCATTGGGTTGGACATCAGGGCCATTCCCTAGGCTTCTGCTGCCAAAACCTCATGTGGACAGGATCCTTGGAGCACACCTGGCTCAGAGAGGAAAATGGGGATTATCCGGCCTCAGAGTTCAGATATTCCAGGCCTGAGACACCAGATAGACCTGGTACGGACCAGGGTGTTCCACAGACAGTGGGGTATCTACAGACCTCTCAGTTGAGGGTGAGAGAGGAAGGTGCTCATGTGAAACCGTTTGTCCACACTGAGATGCTTTATACTAGAATTCTATGTGCGGGAACAAAATGGGCTCATTCCCACAGCTAGGAACTCCCTAGTTCAGAGCAGGACTTGGGCCTGTTCCACACAGATACTGATTTATATCTGTGAAGAGGAGGGATGATGGTGCCCTGAGCCAGTAATCCAGAGCTCATGTCCAGAGCTCAGTGTCCAGAGAAGGGCCTGGGATTCCTGTCCACAGAACTCTGTGCTCTATAACAGCTTCCCAGGTTCAGCTCTTGGAAAGTGTCTCTGTACCAGTGATTTCTGGGAGGGCAGGGGGTGTAAGATATGGCAGAAGTCATCCTGCTTGTTCCTCAACACTAGGAGACAAGTTGTCTAGCCATCAGTGTCTGTATGATGGGCTGTGGATCTCTCATATGAGACCCACCTCTGTGACAAAGTGGCCCTGTGATTCTAAATTCCCACCATTGACCTGGAGCAGGAAGGAAGTTTCGGCAAAGGAACCAGATGGAATCCCTGCTTTTCTATATTTCACCCTCCACTCCCGTGTGGGCTGTGAGCTCCTGAGCTCTGGCAGACGTGGCCAGTGAGCTGGAGTCTAGCCTTTATTCAGTCATGCTAATTTAGTGTAAGTGGAACCCGTCTCTGGGCACCACCGTATGCCATAGCCCAGACGCAGAGCACACGTCAGCACTATCTAATGTTATTGGATAATTTCCTGAAAGAGTGGGCTGGCCACATGCATCAGGAACTTCAGAATGATGTCAGGAGAGTTCCAGAATATTTAGTCACCAGCAGTGAGATCTCAAGGGTGGATCATATCCTCGCACGTCTAACATCATTAGTGGAGTCACAGAAGGGTGTGCATATCCAAGGCACTCTGAGGTGTTAAACTCGACCCCTTCCTGGACAGATTCAGCTGGTGCTACCTGGAGGGCAAGCAGCACTGTAGAGGAAACCTGCCCAGGAGAGGTCCTTGCCTGAGGAGCCCTGTGGGCTCAGAGCTCAGGGCAGCCTGTCTTCCCTGTGGGCTGGGTGCGTGCTGAGTTCTGAGCAATGCCGTGCTTGCCTCATACTCTTGGGTGCTCAGGGCAGTAAAGTGAAACCTCTGAAAGGTCTGTGGTGTCACAACTTTGTTACCTCCTGTGTGTCTCTGGATGCAAGGCCCTGTCAGGGTCCTCACTTGAGGAAATTTGATGGATCAGAGCCCAAGACAGCACCCATGGAGTCAGGACCTTGGCAGGTGTGCGAGTTGGTGGCTGGCTTGTTGGCCAGCTAGAGGAGCTCCTGTCCCACCCACCATTGGATTTTCTGTGAGTTGCGGAGTAGTGAGATACAGAGAAGCTCTCAGTGCCTTTGTTGCTTAAAATTCCACTGTAGAGTTCAGTGTTGAGGGTCCCAATGTCTATGAGCATGGTTGAGCAAGTAAAATCCCATCATCTTTTGGGAAAGCAGGGCTTAGCTGAGCTGCTAGTGAGATTTGTCAGGCCCTGTGGAAGAGCAGGGGCCGAGGCTGAGAGGAAATGTGGCATCGTTTTCCCCTCATGGCCGTCAGTGGTTTCTTCATTTACATTCCTGCGAGCTAGTCCACCATCCCACAGCCTCCTCGTTTTTAGGGACACCTGCATTTGGGCAACATAAAGCTCACCCCACATGGGCCTGACAGGCCTCCCAGGACAGGACTTGCACTTCCTGAGCCAAGATTCCCTTGAAAACTTTTTTTTATTGATAACACTGTATGCATCGGCAAATAGAGTGAAATCAACCAGGGAGAAGCAATAAAGCACACATGTGGAAGTTATTCATAGCAGTTGTCTCACAGAGGTTCCTCTCAGACTCTGCAGGAGAAAGCCGGGTAGCTCCGTATTGTGGATGGACAGGTGAGAGCGCAGCAGACAGCTCCTGGTGTAGGAAGAGGCCTTACTTGCCCGCCATTGGTATTCCTCCTCACAGAGGTGCTTCTAGCTCAGCCCAGAGGCCCCAGACCTGAACACGACAGGCTCCTGCAGGACACTGGCTTAGCACAAGGCAGAGATAGTTCAGCTTCTTGAGCAGAATGAGACGCTCAGGACCTGGAACTCCTTGCATGGGTGCGGGAAGAGGAGTCCCTGCAAAGCTTCTTTTATCCCCTGCACCCACTCCATGCCTTACTCCTAGAAGCCCTTTTTGCTAGAGGGGCAGCAGGGACAGTGAAGACACAGCATGTGGTGTATAGCATCTGGCACACACACCATCCTGGAAAGACAGT